GATTTACAAGAAGTCATTGCTATGAGTGAGTAATTTGAAACACTTATTACTCTTTTTCAAAAAATTCATGTAAATCACTGATATTATTTATATTTTTTATGTCAGTATATACATCCTTAATGATTAAGTGTCAGGTTTGTTCTAATATCTTTTCTAAAAGATATTTAAAACTGCATATGCAGTTTGAGCATCATACACACTTGAGTTGTATCAAATATACTTGTCAATTTAAAAATTGTTATCGTTCCTATTCAGATCAGAAAACGCTTAATAAGCATAAACGACATTGCAAACATTTTGAAGAAACAATNTTAGACTCTAAAATATCTAAAACATCAATTGTAGAAGAAATAGAAAAAAGTTTTAATGACGAAATTAAATTAGACTCTGAAACATTACAAAAATCAAGTTCAAACAAAACAAGTTTTGAACTGATAAACACTTCAACCAGTGAAATCGAATCTGACGGGAATGATACAAGTTTTAATAAAGACTCAAACAATGAAACTACACAAAAANAACTGTGTATACTTGCACTGAAAATGATTTCTTCGCTACATTCCGATGCTACATTATCTCGAATACAAATTGACCGNATAACGCGTATATTTCATTTATTTCTTAACACAAGCTATGTAAATGATTTGAAAAATGGTATATCTCTTACGGAATCAAATTCGTATCATATAATCCAAAAATTCGAAATATTGCAAAATGTTTTTAGCGATCTTGATAGTGAATACAAACGAAACAAACTATTGACTAATCTTGGAATGATATTATATTAAACCTAAACGAATATTCTTTGGAACTATGAATGTAAGAAATGAAAATGTATTAAAAACTGAAAATGTGTATGAACAATTAATATCGTTGAAAGAAGTATTAAAAACATTTTTTGAAATAGGCGATGTATTTGAAAAAACCTGCAAATATATCAACACGTTGATTAAAGATGATAATAATGAAATTTATAATATTGTACAGACTCATTTCTGGAAATCAAAAATCTCAAACAGTACTTCAATAATTATTCCTTTATTTTTATATGAAGATGCTTTTGAAATAGCAAATCCACTTGGATCACATGCAGGTATATATAAATTATGCGGAATGTACATTTCAATACCAAGTCTACCACCAGAATTATTTTCGAAATTAGATAACATCTTTCTTGCTCAATTATATCATGCAGACGATTCGAAATTGTTTCCAAGAGAAAAAATTTATTTATATTCAATTAAAGAATTAATGATTCTAGAAACAGAAGGTATTCAATTAATGATAGGATCAAAAAATACTCAAATATATTTTAAACGCGTTAATTATCGGCGATAATTTGGGATTACATGGTATTTTAGGATTTGTCGAAAGTTTCTCTGCAGACAAGTGCTGTCGATTTTGTAAAGTTTCTAAAAATATATCTCAGAAGTTATGTATTGAAGATGTCAATATATTACGTGATAAAGTAAATTATGCAGAAGATGTAACAATTAATAATGTAACTATTTCGGGTGTAAAAGAAATTTGTGCATTTAATGTTTTACCAACGTTTCATGCAATTGAAAATTATAGCATTGATATTATGCATGACTTATTAGAAGGCGTGTGTAGATATGAAATAAGTTATATTTTGCATTACTGTATTGTTGAACAACAGTACTTTACTTTAGAAACTTTAAACTGGCGTTTACAGTTTTTTAATTTTGATCCGATGTCAAACCGTCCTCCTACAATATCAAATTCACAATTACTTAAAAAATCAATTAAAATGTCTGCTTCTGAAATGTTGAGTTTTGTATTAAATGCCGGCTTATTATTGGGTGATCTTCTAACTAATTGTAATGATCGACATTGGAAACTTTTTATATTATTACGAAAAATCCTTTCCATTACACTTCAACACAGCGTCACTGATTCGACAGAAGATTTACTAGAAAACTTGATTAATGAACATCATATGCTATACATTGTTTTATTTGGAGAAACTTTAAAACCTAAACACCATCTAATGTTGCATTATCCTCGAATTATGAAAATTGTTGGACCACTCCGTTCTCTGTGGTCAATGAGATTTGAAGCCAAACATCGTCCTTTAAAACAATATGCTCGTGCAATTAGCAGTAGAATAAATGTGTGTAACAGTATTGCAATCAAACAACAACTAATGTTGTGCAATTTATTCATAAAGTTGTAATCGGGTACTTTATCATATGTGACTTATAAAAAAGGCAATTCATTAGAGTTTGTCATAAAAAAGTTTTAGTAAACAATGATAAAAATTATACTCAAGTAAAAAGTGTTTGTTTTGGAAATGTAATGCTTAAGAGAGGATCGATTATTTTAATAGGATATTTTAATTGACAATAACAACTTTCCTTTATTTGCAGAAATTGCAGATGTTCTTAAAATCAACACAAATGTTTCTTTACTATCACCGTCAGATTTCATTGCTACTGTAAAATATCTGTTTACAGCATATTTTGATAATCATTATCAAGCTTATGTTGTAAATATTTCGGAAAAATATGATACTATACAATTCGATTGTGTACAGTATTTTAAAGTATACACATTAATTCAAAAAGCANATGGTAACTGTTATATTAGTTATTGAAAAGTATTTTTTTTATGTTTTGATAGATGTATATACTGATATATGTAAAGTGATTTATGTGCATTCTTTTTGTGTAAGAAAAGAGTGTGTTTCCAATATATATATGATTCTAATATATGATTTTTTAATATATGATTTTAATATCTAATTTTAATATATGATTCCAATATATATGATTCTAATATATTATTTTTTTATTGTATAATTGTACCAAACGGTATTATAAAATGTTTCTTTTTCTCAAAGTATAGTTTAATTCATTGTTATTGTTAAGTTAAGTTACACAAAGAAATATATTAAAAATATATTATAAAGTATAAGAAGAAAGAGTTAGTGCCAAACAGTATTATAAAATGCTTATGTTTTTCAAAGTACAGTTCTTTGAATTCAGTATTACTGTTCTGTTTAATTTATTGTGTTACTATTATGAAAAAGAATATATTAAAACTATGTTATAAAAAATAAAAACAAAGAAATGTATGTATGTTAAAAGAAACTATATATTGTATAAAATAAGTATAAAATATAAATACTCATAAAAAATTACACTTATATTTAAAATTCTTCCCCACAGTATATGCTATACATTGATTTATGATTATTATATATGTAATAAAATAACTATATAATATGGATGGTTATATTATATTATACTCAATAGTAGTATCAAACAGTTTTTTTGTAAAATTGTTTTAACCATGTTAATATGGATGGGTTTTTTTATTATACTTAATAGTAGTCTCAAACAGTTATTGTGAAGTTGATTTAACCATAGTAGTATCGTCAAATGTTTCTCAATTAAACATGTTAATAGAACTTGTTCTATGATTGAATAAACAGTATAAACTAAAACTATTGGAACCATATGCATTATAGATCAAATTATATATAAAAAGTTTAATCTTACTATTATATAAGTACGACTTCTTATTATGGCATATAGTGTTTTTATCTTTCAATTATGGTCCTTATTATCACATTTACAGTACAATACATAAATCACAAGTACTTACTATACATAAATCACAAGTTATAGTGTATGAAACCATGCATATGGTTGTATGAATGCATGTTAAAGCTATGGCAACAATAATATATTATTGAATCAACTATAAATCGCATTGTTAAAATAACTATAAAAAAATAGTTGGCACCTTAAATCACTATAAATTATAATTATAATAGTAAAATTGTGGTAACTGCAACTATTTTTTGCTCTCAGTGAACGTGTAATAATACACAGTAATCGGCTCCAGACGCGCATACTTTATTTGACGCGATCTTGTCTACTCAGAATCATAATGTTTATTTAAATTCTTGCAAACCTCTTATTATTTACTCTATGAAGTGTCTTCTCTCTCTTTGTGTATGCTCTATCTGAAGTCATCATGGAAATAACTTTCTTGGTTCAAATTTGAGCGTGTTTAAACTCGCGCGAGAAGTTTGCGTTACGAGCAATAACGAGCGATAAGATTCTTAAAGAGACGCCTTCCCTTTAAGATAGTTCAAGAACAGTCAGCATAAAGAGCATTATGCACGACACGATACAAAGAGAGATAGAGAGACAGAGGCATTTCTGACATG